ATTATCTTAATTTCAAAATTCTCGTTCAGTTAGTGGAACGTGTCAATGTAACTCCCAAAGTTGATTAAACTTATATAATATACATTATACAATATGTATAATATATATACAATATTAAATTTCTGAAAATGTCAACTAATGTCATAACGTGAGGAGCATGTCAATGTAACTCAATTCCCTTTTTGAAAATAAACATAATTGATTACTTGATAGAAGGTTATTAAACTTTCATAATATACATTTACAATATGTACAATATATATACAATATTAAATTTCTAAAAATATCAACCAAATATTTTATCATAACCTGAGGAGCATGTAACTCAATTCCCTCGTTTTAAATAAATATAATTGATAAAAGTTGATTAAACTTTCATAATATACTAAATGTACAATGTATATACAATATTAATTTATTATAAATTTCTGTAGTGAGAAACATGCCATTGTAAATACATTTCCCCTTTTCATAAAAAAACACAACTGTCCGTCCACTACAATACTAGCATTAAAAGCCAATATCACATTCAGTTATTAAAATGTATAATAATATTGTAAGCATGTATTATAAGCAACTTCGCTTATATGTGCAATTATTAATTTATTATGAAACGTCGGCTTCACGTATATTTGGTCTTGACCCCATCTCTGTCTAGTGTGGTTATTATCATAATAAACTAGTCGCCAAGTTTAACTAGTGTCTGCACTTTTTACATTATTGCCTGCGTGAGCGTTGGCAAGCCTAAATGGATTTCGATTGTATACAACGACACCAGTGGCTGTTCCCGGCGTCATGCGTCAAGCCTACCATCAGTTATTCCACACAAATTTATATTGTGGCAAAACATGCTTTTGTTCAATATTTACCGCGCAATAATTAGTAGTTTGTGAGGACAATTTGAATACAATGAATTAATCTTGGCATTGAAAATAGCAGTTGATGACTTATTAATGGCTAAGCTGATGCCACATTTAAGGTTAGACTTTTAGTAAGACTGAGAATGGCAAGCGGAATAATGTAATCTCTCCGTTAGTCGAAATAACATGCAAAAATTATATCATCCTAAGTAATAAATTGATTTTGATTCACCAGGTAAACTAAGACAAGACTATGACCATGGATCAAGGTGTATAACTCATATATTTGTCAGCAATATTTACTTGCTAAATCATTATTATTTGTAGTTCGTTTTACTGCTCAAAGTTGGCCACGGCGTACAAGTCTATATGACACAGTTACCAATTCATCGCAACGTGTATACTGGTATCATTTCTAGCATTTGCAGTGGCGCTTGTAATACTGGTTTTATTTTACTTTGCTTATGGTAATCATAGAAGTACAATGTATAAGGGAATTGATTGTCAATTCTAGATTCTATGCAGGATAGTGTCGACTGCTGCAGATATGGAGGTAGAGAACATCACACTTTTACGCACTACTGTTATTGCTCAACAAAATGAATGACTGAGGAAGAACTATGACAATATAAATCAAACAATGCAAACTGACAGGTCAGAACCAGTAGTTAGGATGGCGAGAGGGAAGCGGGCACATTCAGATTTAAAGAATATATTAGGACCTCTCAACTATATATTAAGTGATCTGGAATACGAATGTGTTTTACTTGTCTCCATGACACATATGTGTACTAATATGTGGGAGATTATTATGAATTTTTAATCACAGAAAATTATTTTTCTCTTAAAGCATCTAGTAGTGTTCTTATAAACACTCGGCAAAGATGACATTCTGACTAACCACAATTCATTTCCTTTTCGGAAAAATGACTTGCCCACCTTATATTAGATACCCAAGGTGCACAAAATAAAGCGAAATTTATAGCAGGTTCATCTGAATGCTCAAACCAGAGAACCTCACACGCAAGATCTCAACATCTGTTCTTTCTACTATTAAAAAAACTATCGATTTGTTGATTTCCTGTGTCATTAGTGCAAATATGTAGCTACTATCGCCGAAATATGAACACTGAAACCATACGGTATATGCTATATATCGACGTTGCAAGTGAAAAAGATGGCCGTGAGGTTGCGCCAAGGTCTGTTATCTGTTACAATCCGGTTTTGTCAAGCTAACCCTGAGCGAAATGTCAAATACACCCAATGGGCATGTCATACACAGTTGTGAGAGCAACATTGAAACATGGCGTTATTAAATGTTTAATGCTGGTATTGATTACAAATAAACTGTTCAGGTACGAAGTAAAAACACAAGTTTGCGTATTTGATGAGTTGTTCAAATCATGGTCAAATTTTAATGTAGAATCACAAACGCACAACGTTCCATAAATGATAAATAACCATATTATATTTCCTTCGAAACGCACGTCGCAGACCTGTTTACGTATTATGACGTCATTATGATATCTCAAACTCTCAAATTATATATAAATGTAGCATTTCTGAGACGACCAATGAAGTTATCATCGACTGTTAGGTATTTGAATCAGCCATTTTGTTTTGCCAGAAATCTTGTCACCAAGCCGGAAGTTCAATAAATATTTGCAATCAGCACCCAAAAGTGAAAGTTGCACGTATCATGTCTAGGGAACGGGACAACAAAGCCCATGACAGCCTTTACATTATGCATTACGCTGGCAAACAACTGTATCACTTGTTAGATTTCCCCTATGTGATGTATACTTCAAACATCATGTAAATAGATCAATAATGCACAACAATGTATATATCTCCGTGAATAAATTAATAAATGCCAAAAGTTGAACAGACGGGGTTTGGCTTTAGTTGTTATAATAAATTAAAGAATTAAAAAATTATTGCAGTCATACTGTGTGTGTGTGTGGGGGGAGGGGGGGGGGTATTGCACATGTGGATGAGAGGAATTGAAAATAATTTGCGATATGATATACATAATACTGAAATTAAATCAAATGGTTTAATAAATAAACACGTTAGAGAAATTATTACACAAAACATTTCACCAGGATTTGCTGGACTATTTGGGAATAAAATAACAGATTTTTTATCACAAAATTTATACATGCAAAAAAGACAATACTTTAAAACTTAAAACTGACAGCATAAAGAAGATACATCTATTTCAGCATCTTTGTATGCTATTTCAGCGTGGGTTGCCATGACCACGAACAGCCACGGGCACAGAAAGGGTATTGATCTTGCCCGTTAGCTGTCAATCACATATAAGTCGGCACACTTATATTTTGCAGTAATCAAATAAGCATTATGGTTTCAGATGCCTGAAGCATGAAGAGATCAAGTTGATATCCATGCTAATAGTTTACAAAACAATCAAAATAGTGGGTACAATCAAAGTCGTGTGCACATTTTGGATTCAATTCTAGATTTCTGATGCATACTGATCATATACAAAAGCCATAATTACAGTCATAACATGTGTTTCCTTTTGCAAAGCCTGTCAGGGTTGATTATGTCCCTTGACCTAATTGATGTGATGTCACAGCTACACGGGATTTATAATTCAAACCCCCATTTATCTACTCCAAAAGAAACTCTGCTTTCTTAAAGACAAATATTAAATATTATCGCTATATTCAACATTCTGAGTCCAAGCTTAAATCCATTACAATGGCACTAACTCCGTAACAATTTACAGACAGTGTTTTTTTTTATTTTAATAATTTTCCACATTTCCAATAGAACTATTTCTATATTGAGTATTCAGTCAGTGTTGTATTGCGTTGGTTCCTCAGTTATTCAGTTATTCCTGGAAGTGAGAAGCCCAGTGGTCGTGTGACGAATTACAAGCCATGGCATATTCGTTAGCAGTTACTCAGCAGTTGAAGGTAGTCCTATTCAGTGTAAAAATGGTAACTAAGTTGACTGAAATGTTGACGCCACATTCATAATTCTCGTCACAGAATTGAGGTGATTGTGTGTAAAGGTTATGATGATGGTGAATAAATAAATCACCGAAAGATCAAATGGTGTAATATAAAGCAATTAGCAACACTGACTCTCAAGTTGTACTTAGTAACGAAAGCAATACTTTCCATATGGCTAGTGAACACACAAATAATATGCTTCTCACTTCAAAAACATCTCGTTCAGGTGGATTTGACTTGTAGTAACCGCCATTCACATTTAACAGACTGGCATTCATGGTGGGATATTCAGGCAGTTGGTCAATCCGATCAAAACAGGTCTCATATGCCGACGTAGCCAATATAAATGCCTATAATTACATGACTGCAGTAAACAATATTACATTTCTCTAAATTTCTAAATATTTCAGCCAATTGCTTTTATCATTCTCGGTGGTGGAATGCCAATGGTCGTTTGAGTTTTAGGTAATTACACTTCATTTGTTGGTAGGTACTCTGTATTGGAAAGTAGTTCTGTTTATTGTATACACGAGTTACCAAGTTGACTGCGAATCAAGTTGAATCATTCGTATGTTTCATTTATTTTAATTTTATACAATATCTCGTTTATTAACTCATCAAATATGACACCTTAATAAGGTTTCAATTTTCTTATTGAGGCTAATTTGAAATTGCTTTCACTCTTCAAATATCTCTCCATATACCCATATATAATTTTCCTTTTTTTTTTACAAAAACGAGATAATATTATGTCATTAAGAAAGAGCTCACTGTTTAAATGTTATTTACCACTGTTTATTAATTATCCCAAACTAATCGAAGTATATTTGAAGCAGTGAATTTGTTATAATGTTTAGGAAGTCAAATATGTAAAATACAACTATCAATGTCCCCACCCAAACCACGGCAACTCAAAAGCTAATCCTTCAATAGCGTTCTAATAATCTTTTCACTACCTTAAAATACAACATTGCATTATGGGAGTGTGTCAATGAGAGAGATATATCATGGTCTTTTATAGTAAATAGTTTACTGTCCAAAATGAACTTTTTTCCGATGGATTTAATCATTTTTATTATACAGTACAAATCCGATTAGATGCAACTAATTTTCAACCTTGATACTCAAGAAAACATGACTTATTTATCGCCATGATCTAAACAAATTTCAGGCAAAATATATTAAGGTAGGCTTTCTTGAAATCACGATTCATTGCATACAGAACTGGGTTAATACACGAATTTAAAAAAATAAATGATCCAACCAATTCAAGCGTTAACCCTGCAATTTTTTGAGATGTAAACATTGAAGTAGCCGCTACAACGACATATGGCATCCACATTACTAGAAATACTAAAACCAATACGACTGTATTAACTAAACGACGAATTTCAACTGCTGGTTTGGCAATGATTGTACTTGGGATGGCTGCCGTCATAACTTGATTGGTGATTTTCCTTCGTTGTTTACGAGCTTCGATTAAAATACGAACACTAGTAAAAAGCATTATCAACACGGTGACTATGGCCGTAATTGGTCCAGTAAAAGTGACAGACGTAGATTGCACATACGAACAATGATCTTCGATTACGTCATAGAAGAGATTAACTATATTTGGTATAATTATCACTATGATTATTGGTATCACCCAGGAAAGTATGATTGCTGCTTTCACTCGTATGGCGGTCATCCTCAAATGGTAATGCAATGGCGATGTGATATAGATGTATCGATCCAGACTCACCAGTGACATCGACACGAACGAAGACACGTATAGCGTTGGTTGCATCCCAGATATAATCGCACAGAAAATTGATCTATCAAAAAATGGCCTGCTGCTTAAAGAGAAGTATATCGCATTCGCAAATCCCGTAGTAAAATCGTTGATCGAAAGGTTGAGTATGAAATAGTTTGCAATGCGGTCCCTCAGGTTGTACGCAGTAATGAAGGCTATCACTACCATAAGGTTTGTGAACATAACTATTACAGAAAAACATACCAACAGTATTCTTCTAACTTCAAAAACGTCTTGTTCAAGTGGATTTGAGTTGTAGTTCCAATAAAAGTAACTGGCATTCACATTCAACACACTGGCATTCATGGTTGGATGTTCAGGCAGTTGGTCAATCCGATCAAAACAGGTTGTACTTCATCTGTCTTATAGGCTGACAATACAAGCACATGAATTCATATATGAGCAATATTATTTCAATACATACTATTAAATTTCAATGGATTTGTCAACCAATTGATGTATCATGTCATCGTAACTCAATTCCTCGTTGTAAAAACAGTCACCCCCACTACAATAATAGCATTATAAGCCAGTATCGCTTCCAGTTATTAAAGTGTATATTAATATCGAAGCATGTAATATAAGCAACCAAATATTAATAATACTAAATAATGCCCACTAAATAGTTTTGCAATGGGTCATCCCAGTGATGCGATGCACAGTAATACAAGATTTGGAACTTATATCCAAATTGACGAGTTTTCTACAATACTTTAAGAGTGACTTTAAGTGTTTCCCATACATAAATATCGTTTCAACCGATTATACGAGCTAAACTCTCCATTGCCACTTACTCTTCATTGGCAATGACACGTACTCTTGCAGCACCTTTCCAATATATCTGCTCCGATATTGAGTATTCGATCAGTGTTTTCATTCGTTGGTTCCTTGGTTTTCTCATTCTTGGTGGTGGAATGCCCAATGGTCATGTGAGTTCCAGGTCATGATACCTTATTCCGTACCAGTTATTGAGTAGTTTAAGGTAGTCCTATTTAATGCACGAAACAGTTTGACACCTCATTCATATTTATTATTACTCGCTCAGACTTGAGATGATTGGTTAATTGTGTGTTCAGCGTAGGATGGCGTGGAATATATAAATCATATATTAATTTTCCATTAATTTTCATTTTATTTGATATGTCGTGTACTATTTTGTCAAATATGACATCTTATATGTCAAATATGACATTTTACACCACATCAAAATACAATATTGCATATTGCATTGTATCAATGAAGAAAGAGATAATGGGAGTCTTAGCAGTTAGTGTGCTTGTATGTTATTCATGTATGTTGTGTGTGTGCGTCCGCCTGTTCCAATTATATCTCAAGAACGTTATGTTAGTGTTTGACGAAACTTGATGAATACATGCTTTCTTGCATAGTAATAACAACCTAATTTGCATGATAATTATCTTATTTTTAGGTGTTCCATGGCTTTTTCACTGATATCTAAAGAATTACTCATTGGATTTAGATGAGTACATAGATGAACTGGGACAAAGCGCAGACCTGATTAGTTTGGGGTAAAAATTTATACATCTTAATTACCTAATTTATATATTGATTAGTCAATTTTCATTTTTTGTTTTATTATCGAAAATCAAATCCCATACCAAAGTCAATTACCTAAAAGTTTAGTTTTAAGCAGTCAACCACATGATTCCACAAAGTTAATGAAATTTCTGAAATTGTCAACCAATTAGTGTATCATAACGTGAGGAACATGTCAATGTAACTAAATTCCCTCTTTGGAAATAAACATAATTGATCAATTGATAACAGTTTCGTAAACTTTCATAATATATTAAAAGTACAATGTATATACAATAAACAATATTATTTTTTTATAAATTTCTGTCGTGGGACACATGTCATTGTAGTTCAATTTCCTTTTATAATAAAAAATCACAATTGTCGTGTCAACTACAATACTAGCAATAACAACCAATATCACTTTCAGTTATTAAAATATATAATAATATTGTAAGCATGTAATATGGGCAACCAAATTTTAATAAAAGTAAATGGCAAATGTTGCTCCTCAAAACTATTGCTGACGTCATCACAGACTGTTAAGTGTCCAATCTATCAAAAAGCGTAAATACAATGTGGGCGACTGTGATATATTGAAGTAATTAGATGAAAAAAAAGAAATTAGTAAACATTTCCAAATTCTTCGCAATATGAGCAGTCGTTGGGTTGCCGTGGCTTGTTAGCTGGTGTATTCCAGCATCTCTGTCTAGTGTGGTTAATTGAACCCTGTACATGCTTTCTATCATACTAAACTGGTCACCAATTTTAACAAGTGTCTGCACTTTTTACACTGTTGCCGGTGTGAGCGTTGGGAAGCCTAAATAGGATCCGATTGTATACAACGCCACCAGTGGCTGTCCCCGGCCTCATGCGTCAAGCCTACCATAAGCTAAAGTATGTAAAGCAGTTTAATACCAAGGGTAAACATATATGAACAATCCGAACCACACCGCGTCTTCATTTTAGTTATTCTACATAATGTATATGTTGGTAAGACATGGTTTTGTTCAATATTTACTGCGCAATAGTTATTAGTTTGTGAAGGCAATTTGAATCCGATGTATTAATCTTGCCATTGAAAATGACAGTTAATGAGTTATTAATGCCTCAGCAAACTCTTCACGTATCTATACTGTATAAATATAAATTGCAAACATATGGGGAATGTGCCTGTTGGTTTGGCAAATTCAGCTTTTTATTGGCAAAATGTATCGACATAATGAGTTTACTGTACACTACTTTGACTGCGTTATGCTTAGTCCTTATTCGGTGGTTGACGCTTCATTGGAAAATACGGCCGCATAAATACAACATCTCTCGTGAAAACAATTCATCCATAACCCACGAAGTTCAGAGTGAGACCATGGTATCCTACAGTACCTTATACGTTTTACCAACTGGTATTTGTACTCTGCTCATGTGGGACATTTGTGTAGATAAACATTGAATTTCCCACAATGCAATGCGCTCTTCTAATGAAAATCACAAGTACTAGGTTAACCTGGGCCCGACATGCACCGATCACTGCCAATGTGTAAAAAAATACATAGTTAAAACTTAATAACGTCTCATCTTTAATTTACGTACCACGTGGAAAGATACCCTTTTGTTTTTATTGAAAGAAGGAAAATCGGGTAATGGCGTACTCATTAGCATTCATGACAGGTTATAAAAACAATATTGTTTGATCCTGAAGTTTTAAGAAAATATTTCAATTTGTCTATCTATGCCTCATATAGAATGCATTGCTTGTAACCAAAATTAATTTAGGAATGACAATCCTCAGCTTTTGATTGTTTCAGTTTTCTGTGGGATGCCGGAAGACAGGAAACTGAGATTTGTTTGTATGTGCGTGTGTGTGTGTTTACGTTCGTCTGGTAACATTTCCCATGCATAACTTTTGCAGAAGGACATACCATTCTACAAAAGACCACATAATTTTTTTTGGATTCCATAATATGACGGCAATTTTGTTCAACCAAAACAAAACAGAATTATATTATGAAACTGTTTTAATCGAAATTGGCATGAACCTCACGAATGTTCTGTTGGGCATAGTTGTTTATTATCAACACGTTAATATGTCTATAAATACCGCTGAGAGCAGCATACAAAAATAAGATCAGCAATCACACAATGCGGAGTGCACAGTACCGAGAAATTACTTTTACAATGAAATCACCTAGGTAACAATTACTAGGCCATTTCCGAATGACCAAGACGAATTATACGAGCCCCGTATTTCACGGGTTACTTAGTGGCAAAGACTTGTCTGTTCAATGAGAGTGCATTCAAAATTTCACAGACAACGCGAAAACTGGAAGTCTGTTTTTTTAAGATTGCCGAAATACAAAACATATCGGCGAATAGAAAGGAGATACATCTCCTAATCTTGGTTGCAGGTTGGTGGTCTATCCACGCACCTCCACTGCTGGTATTTGTGTTAGTTTGAGATATCTCATCATAATTCACATAGATTTACAATAAGAACATTCGTGTTCTCTCTCGAGTGCAATAATAATTAATTTTTCATTATACCCTCGGAGCACAAAAGTATTCCGTTCATAAATATTTATAAATTTCACGATTCAAACTGAAACAAGAGGTTTTGATTGGCCGATTGAATGACATTGGAACGTTTTCAAATGACGTTGTTGTGCAATGTACTCGTTGATTGGCTGGTTTGATTCAACTACCGCTGAAATTTATAAATATTTATAAACATGAATGCAATGCTTTTTTGCACCAAGAGTATATTAACTAGACAAATATCAAAGGTCGACAGACAAGTGTACATCAAGACATATACAATGAATGTATGTTCATATTGTATTATATTATATTATGCTTTTTGGTTCACGGGTAAAATAAAATAAAAGACGA